TCTTGCTGATCCTAGAATATAATACCGAAAAACATGCTAGTAAAAACTATTGACCAGTACGGAAATCAGGGAGATCCTGGAAACACTATCAAAGTTCAATTAGCATACTATGACACAACTAAGCTACTTCAGTATCTCTAAAAATGCGGACACAACAGACAAGTAAAAGCTGACCTTGAACTTTCTCATTGACACTTGTGAGTTCTTCTGCGTGCTTCTCATGGATTAAATAAACCACTTCGTAGTGGCGCACTGTCCAAACAACGAAGACAGTGTATATTGTAAGTTATACGAGCAATTGAGCATGTTAGGTTCAATGAATGAAATGTAAGCCACAGCTTAAGATCAATTAAACCTTTGTGCATCTCACAAAAAGGAAAAGTTTCTGTAGTTCAAGCAACTCTAATTAGAGGCAAATTGCTTCAACTCAAACAAGCAAATTGGATTAGGCCAAACCACATCTTATATATTCATAGCATCACAGAGTAACAGCTTTCTTCAATCCATTTCCTTTCTACCATTTTCGGAACAAACCAAAATTTCTAAATAAATTCCATATTCAAATAATTTACAAATAACATAAAATTCCATTGTTCATTTGTTCCAAACAAAGGCCAGATGTAGCATGACCCACCAAACTCCAAAAGGACTTGGCACATCACATTGGCATAAACTTGAAAGTTACGTTACAGTAGATTTTGACCAGTAACGTCCTGTGGGTTTTACAATTACTTCTTCAATACCAAATGCAAGTATTGTTTACAATTAAAAAGTATCATATTTCTGAGGAATTAACTAAATTCACTTACTTATGAGCCCCCAAGAAAAGAAATATATATATATACACACGCATATGCTTACTCAGTTCCACATTCAATTGGCTTTGCAGCTGAAGGTCCAGAAATTCATAGAGCTCCTCTGTAAAATCAAAGAACAATATAATCAGCAATAGTTTCATATACTGAAAAGGCTTTCGTTCACTCAACAATAGAAACCAAATTCAACAGCTATGCAAATGTTAAATCACTTACGTTCCTCAGCATCTGCAAACTCAGGGAGCAATCTACCATCTTCCTGAACTTTTTTCTACAGTTAAAAAATAATAATAATAAACCTCTTATCCCAAAATAAACCAGATAGCTCAATTACAAAGAAGATGCAAAAAAGGAAACCAATAATTAAACGAAATTCGAAAGATAAACAGCTTCAACATTTTAAACCCAACAAAAAGACATCATCTTTTACAGTACTCACATAATCAAACGCCAGAAAACTGGCGAAAATTACTTCAAGAAGTTTAAAGAGAATAACAAATTAAGGTAGTAGAATTCTAAAATGGCAAGGATGGTAAATTAGTATGGGAAAAAGAGAAAATATGGCGACATCAAAAGGTTGTTACCTCTTTGAGGAGGACGGCTTCAGGGAAAGGACCAGTGGCTTCATCTGGTCTCGGCACAAAGCTATGAGTGTCTTCCTTGTCGCTCTTGTCCTTCTTCTTAGCCTCCACTCTAATGAAGAGAGACTGTCTCCCATGTCGAAGATTGCAGGAAAAAGAAGAAGAGGAAAACCATTTTGATAAGTTCAAGGTTGAGTTTTGATTGCCAAGTTTCAGATTTGTTAACCTTGGAGATAGATATGCCGCTGAGGAGGTGTGAAGTAAGGACTCCATTACAGGAGAATTGGCAAAGAGGCTTGGAGGTGGACAGCGGACACTCGTAAAATTTTTTATCTAAACATTTTGTTGCAGTCAGCAGGGGGAGAACAGGAGGGGTTTTCTGGTAATTACAAAAAGTTGAGGGTCCCTTTTGTAATTATAATTTACTGATCCACCCAACCATCAAGCCGAGGATATATATATATATTAAAAATATAATTTTTATTTTTATTTAATATATTAATAACACTCTTAAATTATACAATAAATCAAAATTTTGAATATACTATATGTATCTATAAAGACATTTGACTTTTTAATATTTACTTTCAATACCCATTAAGATAAAAACATCATGTTATTTTTTTAACTCTTGAATTCTAAATATTATTTTTATCTTCAACCATGACATATAAATACACACCAAGTGGAGCCAAGAACAGATTTTTCAATGAGTAAAAAATGTGCAGCAGATGAGTGAAAGGTGATGTATTAACAAGATCTTTCTTCTTCCAAGAGAGTAATAATTAAGGAATTTGGATCCCGGACATGTTATGACTCAAATCTCAAACCTACTCGGATCCCTTTTTCTGAAGCTGTAAATTTTTTGTAAAGGGTACAAAATTTTAGGCCAGTGCAACCATTGATGCCCCCACCATGAAAACCAAAACAAGATACTTTCTGCTGGGAAACTATTTTCAACCAGGTGCCACGGTCTACATCTTTTATCTTTTCAAAACTTACAAAGCTATAGAAAATGCTGTACAAGTTGTTAGGTCTAGAGGAGATCGGCTCAAGGGGGGGGGGCTTACTCACAGTCACACCGGCAAAAGAAAACAACCTTTACCGACTAAAATTGATGTTTCTTGTTCTGATTCTGAATGCTTATAAGAATTTCTGAGCATGGGAAGGCCCCGTAGCATGAAGCTTAACGTTGCCTCTTTCCCTTTTTCTTTTTCTTGTTGCTGGCACTGGTACTGGCACTGGCACTGGCACTGGCACTGGCACTGGCACTGGCACTGGCACTGGCACTGGCACTGGCACCGCCGGAATGGTTGCCACTGCTCTTGGAAGTATTCCCAGGCCTGGGAGATGGGTTCTCGGTGAAGGTGCCGCCAGCAAAGACACCAGCATGGAAAGCATTCTGGAACCACTCAAATAATTGTTCTTCCGTCATTGTCTCCTCCATGTTAGGTGTTGGTATCCGACCACCTCTTTGTCCTGAAGTAGCTCCCTTTCCAGAAATATGCTTAGAGGTTACACTTGCATTCACATGGAAGCTTGGCTTGTGACTATTGGCTGGACATCTCATTCCCTGTAACAAAATTGTGGATTATTCATGAATATGATGAGCGGGATCGGATACCAACATTTCTTGGCTGGATGACTTCCTTCTCATACATGACACTACCAACAATTGATAAGAGATAACTGCCTTACCTGACAGATATACCATTCAGTAGCATTATATATTCTGCTGTCTGCACATACGTAGGCAACGGGAGTATCAACCTGAAAAGAAACCTTTTGTTAGGCAAATCATTGATATTAATCTAAATTTAAACGACAGATATCAAATTACAATATATAAAATCACACAGTGTATTTTTCCTCAACTCTTTTTATTTTACAGTCATACATGCAGATGAATCACAAGAGGAAAGTGTTAGACAAGCATCATATGCACATGCCTTCTGAAGTAATCCAAAGAAGATAGGTTGCAGAGATTGCTCAACCCATCCATCTCCGTCTTTTGCTGGATGAAAATCCTTGCAGTCCTTCAAAAGGTAAACTACCAATTGTGAAAAACATAAGAACCAGATCTCTTTGAAACAAGATGACACGCTGCTGCAACACTAAGGATGGAGTCTTGCAAAATGATAATAATGTAAGAACCAACTTCCTTCAATTCATGACAATCAGAAACCATTATATGTTTAGAAGGAAAAGAAAACCTGGCACCATCTTGCTTGAGATTTTAATTTTCTGGTCTGCAACCATAAATGGAAATTGCCACATTTCTTGCAGGCTATTCTCCTTGAATCTCCAAAGATATCCTCACCGTCGGCCTCTGAGCGAGCAAATCCAGAGGTAAAGAAACCATATCCTCCATTCTGATCAATCAATTGCATTAACAGCTCAAGTTAACAGAATGCATGCTTAGACCAAAGGATCATCAAGTGCCAGAAGAAGATTTTTGCTCAATTTTAGATGACTTATCACAAGGACAGACTAGAGAATACAAGATCAACATAGAGGGACTCTAGGAAAAATAACCAACTGCATCAATTTGACACATGAATGTAACAAATGAATGAAACAATGGTAGAAGAGAAAAAGAGGGTAAAAATCTGTTGGGACTGATAACAAGTCTAGGGCAAATTTGGAAGACATCTACGGATAAACTCAGTTTCACCACAAGATTGCTGAAGGGAAGGAGGGGAGAAAGGCAAACCAATTAGTTAAGTGGAGATATCGCCAGTGATTTTCAATATGCATACATGAATTAATATGATCTATTAAAAGGTCTCTTTCTTGTTTTGGGGGTATATGCAAGATGGCACTACTTCCTCCAAACATACAAAAAGTTTGTTGTGGAGAATAGAACGGAAATAAGATCTATGCTCAAACCTTCTGAGATACATTTTGAAACCTACGGAAATAGTTCAGCAGCTCCTCCCTTCTTAATTCATCATCATATGCTTTTCGCTTCAGGGAATCAAGTAAAACCTAATGGGCATAAAAGTATTACATAATCATCATCCAGAAAAAATACATAAGTATAACAGAACCAACACTCATTTAAATGATAACCAACATATTCACCTCATATGCATTCTGAAGTTTCTTAAAAGCTTCTGCAGCCTTTTCATTTCCCATATTCTTATCAGGATGGACCAGCATTGCCTGAAATACATGGTAATTATCATGATATTGTGCATCTATTGGTAACTCTAGGCAGCCATGTCTAGTCAAAAGTGGAAAACTAAATTTGATCTCCGGGTAGGAAAGGTTTTAAGACTTTCTTTGGTAACCAAAAATTAAAAGAATTCCCACTTAGATAAGCATTCTCATAATGCCATAAAAAGAAATGATAAATGGGTACAGATATGTATCTTTCCTTTTCCTGAAATAAGTTATGGGCCATGATATAGTGCACCTTGATTAATGAACCCATGCCTGGACAGCCATGAAAAACTAAATTGGACATTTGGGAAATAATACTTTTAAAGTTTGTCCGAACAAACAAAGAGCAAGGAGGAAGGAAATGTTGAATCTTGCTAATTGCTGAAAAGAAAAAGAGCACACACCTTTTTCCTATATTCTCGCTTGAGTAAAGAAACATCAACGTCCTCATACCGCGACAAGCCCAGTGCTGTATAGTGATCAGTACAGTTCAACAACCGAACTACTTCCATTTCAGACGTTAATTCAGATTCAGCTTCACTTGTTGAAGGCATTCCTGGGTTACGATCGGCTGCCGAGCCCGGAAAATTTTCAAAGGATGAAGCATGCACTGACTCATCACTGAAAAATCCCGGTTGACCTTGCACTCCAGCGGTAAATTCATCAGGTCTATCAGATTGTCTTCGTTGGTTTATGTTATTTTTTAGGAAGTATATAAGAGCATCACTTGAAATGAAAGAAAAATTAAGAGCCAAGAGCAATCCGAGCCACCCGACATACATCCATGCACAATATACAGAATAAGCTGTGGTGATTAATAGTGCAATGCGCTCATGGCTCAACATGAATGCCAAACCTGAATGTTGATGATCGTTAGACCTGAAATAGCTTCGCAAAAGAAAAGGGTAAATCAATAATACACGAAGGAAAATAGGCCAGGTGATCCTCCAAGGAAGAG